AGAGAGAGAGAGAGGAGAGACAGAGAGGGGGAGAGAGAGAGATGAGTTTTTGACGGTGGTAGTGTCTGTTCATTAAAGACAGCAAGGATGCTTGTTTCTTGCTGTGTGTGTTTGTGTCGGTTTGCATGTGTTTGTGTGTGTGTTTTTGTGTCTGTGTCTGTGTGTGTATGTGTGTTTGTGCGTTAGTGTGTGTATGTGTGTATGTGTGTGTGTCTGTGTGTGTTTGTATGTGTGTGTATGTGTGTGTGTGTGTGCTTTGCTAAGGTTACTGAAGAAAATTCAGTATATGGATTTAAGTAAAACTTTTAGTGTTTGGAATAAAGAGACAAAGAGAAAAGAAGGAATATTTTTTTGTTACTTGTTGCCTCTTATAAATATCAAAATAGAAAGTAAAGTATCAGTTCCAAATGAGATTGATTTAAAATGACCTTTTCCATTTATCAAAACACATTAAACTTTCTCTCTGTCTTTTAGAACAACAAAATAAATTACACAGAGGGCCTAGGTGACGGTAGTCGTTTTAGATAATATACCCATTGGTCCAGGTCGATGACTTCAAGGACGAGTGACGTCATACCCACCACCATGCTACCGGGAAGATGAAGCAACCCATCAAAACACCGTTATGAAAGTGTGGGAGACCATCTTAGTCTTAGGAGCCATGCTAATGGCGCTGTATTTATGTCCATTAAAGGAGTTAAGTGGCGGTGGGTTGAATTGTAGATTGCCTCAAGGGACTCATTTGCAGGTAAAAGTCAATTTAAGCCCCCATTCCGAACTCCGAACTTACCTGACCTCCTACGCACATCGTGTGTCACCATTTTCTGTGCAGCCACAGTTGTGTTGCCGTCACGTCGAGTGGGAGAGACCGTTTTAAATTTTTATTTCATATTTTTGTTAAGTGTTTTACGGCGTTCGCAACTGAATAAGGTCATATGAGTGCGCGGTAGACATTAAACCTTTTCAGTTTGGTAGGAATTGATTTTGAATTTTGCCCGGGTAGCGGCTGAAGCCTACTCTTATCGATTTAGGACCACCAAGGGATCTTTAATGTGCCCAACTTGCATATGGGACCTCCTAGATTCTTTAGCTCTTATCCGGGAAAGCCAGGTGTTAGACCTTACCTACCCTAAGATCAGGGATGTGACTGAAAGACAGCTCTAAGAAGGCGCCAATGAGGAGCAGTAGAAAGGCTACAGAAAGAATACGGGGCCCAGAGAAGGGTCAAAAAAAGGGGGGGGGGCAGAAAGTGGAGACGAAATATTAAGAATGAGGAGTCAAAATGTATTTGTTCATACATTTAATTCTGAATCTTCCTGATTGTCTGCACATGCGCGGGGATAGTGGTGGTGACGCCTCTTTAAGAGAAGAACACAGCTTATTATACTTTTCGACCCCGAGGTTATTCTAATATAATATGTACTATCAGAACTTGAAACAGGTGAAGGCTAGAATTTGTTGAAATAAATTATGTTCTCGTGAATGTCTTTTAAAACTTAATGGCCGGGGGGAAAAGAGGATTACAGAGCAGGAAACAGAGAGGCGGGGATGTAGGAGTACACGAGACGGTGAGCATCATGAAAATGAAAACGGTGATTTAATGTAGTAAGATTGTGTGTTTCTGTGACTTTTTTCTTGTGTTTGTTTCTCAAGGTTTCTGATTGTGTATTAGGAAAGTATTCCCTCCCACTAGCAAAATAGGAAAGCACTTTTCTTTCAGCACTGAAAAGTGAGCAGTAATTAGAAGCGGCATAATCGTTGCTGAGGAAGAATTTACCTGAACCGATTTTCACTCGGGGGGCAGAGAGTGACTGTGGGACCAGGATGAGCTTTAGCCAAGAAAACACTTGGAACGTAAGAGAGTGGTTACACACAACTAGTTGTATTTCTTAGCGCTTCCCTACAGCATAAGCAGTATATGTGGTGCAATCGCCGCTTTTTCAAGGTAGATTTTTTTATGAATCCATTGACACAACTTAGATCATTTAAAAGGCGGGCTTCGACCCAGCCCGTCATAATCAACTGGGCTGAGAGGGATACAATATCCAAGCAGAAAGACAGAGATACTGCGTAGAAATCGTCCCACAATGGAATCGAACTCGGGTTTTCTTCGCATGACGGCGAAGCCGAAGTGCCTATATGCTATACCACAGGTGCAGATTTACAAAATTATGAAACAATTCAAATGTGTGTCTCTGTAACGCATTCACCATTTGTTGCGTGACCCCTGAATTGAAGCAACTCTAGAAACGAAGCTGCATGTTTCCCTGCCTTCAAGTTTTTTGCCTGCGTGTTGGGAGTCCAAAGATTCCGAAACCCGAGAACTTCCAGGTCGCCCAGATGAGGTCTGGGTTACGTCTGCTCACAGCACCCTAGGGGAAAGCAGTTGCCTTCTGGCGTTCGGGGTGATCAAATTTGCCTTAATATTGTTTCACCTCCCCCCTGTTTTCAATCCGAAGTTTCTTAAAACAAGAGACAGCAAGTATTAGAAAATCATTAGGTTTTTTTTGTCCTTCCTTAAAGTTCGCTAACGGGATAAGCAAGGTCTTTTTCTTTTCAAAAACTCAAATCTTGCATACATGGATCTACAGCGTGTTGAATGAATTTTCTAGATTGCTCAAACAGGAGTAAAATGTTGATATGTATTCTCTCAATGAAGTCTTTGAAATCGTGTTTTTTTTTCTTTGCACATCTAGGTACAATATACCGGACAAAATAGCTTTCGTTCACAACTGACAGTGCATTTGAAGAGTTGTATCTCATGCCGATCTCAATATATGTATTTTTCACTGACTCCCCCCTTTCCACACACACACACACACACACACACACACACACACACACACACACACACACACACAGCACATACACATATACGCACCCACACGCACACACGCACGCACGCACGCACCCACGCACGCGCACACACACAAACACACACACACACACACACACACACACATACACACACATAACACTAATCTCATCCCAACCCGTGTTTTAGCCTTTTTGGGAGACGGGCATAAGTTAACGAAATTTGAAGGAAAGTGCATCACCTGCTGATGTGCATTTGGTTAGTTCATTACCTGCACTTTGTATCCCCCCCCGTGAGGGAGGAATTTTTATCGAGTATCTCGGTTTATCTATTGGGATGTTGTATCCTTCTCAGCCCTGGTTGGGCCGTAACCCTCTTCCTAAAATGATCTTAACTGTGTCGGGGGGGGGGGGTGTAAAAACACTTTTTTTTAAAAAATAACCAACAGCTTGAGTGAACGTAGAGAAGAGCAGAACAGGTACCATTCTCAGATCTGGGAGAACTGTTGGACACTATCTGTCATAACATTAATCATCTTCTTGTGTCTTTCTCTCCCCCAGGACAAGACGATCCGCCACCCAGAGACCAACACCTGCCTCACCTCCACACAGACCGCTGTGGTCTTCATGCCGTGTACCGGAGACACCTTCCAGACTTGGATCTGGGCAGAAAACCCCAACTATATGCCCCCACAGACTCCCCACACCTCCCTTTGACCCAGGGACACACACTCTAGAGATCACAGCTAGGCGTCAAATTCATGGCCCGCGGGCCGCATCCAGCCCGGTGGACGATTATATCAGGCCCACGGGAGAGTGTTGGAAAGTTCATCCTAAGGATCTCCATAATACGTCAAACATAAACGAACTTGTTGCCAAGAAACGATGTCAAATATCCAGTTCTGACAAATTGGCAAAAGAGCGAAAATTGGTATGCCTTGAGTTTTAATTGTTTTAACTTTGTTTTAATTCGTACTATTGTTTTAAAAAAGGTTTTGTTTTCCATTGTTTAATGTTTGTTGATCCAGTTAGGGTCGCAACCGTCAGTGTAATCTTAGTTTGGCCTCCTAAGCAACTGAGTTTGACAACACTGTTGTAGGTCAGTCCTGTGGTTGATGGGCATTAGATCGGAGGTCCTGCTCCTTTAACTTTACATTTATGAGTACAATATTTTAAGAAACGCCTTCATGCAATGTGCTTTATTCATCAATATTTTTACTGCATCTTCGATAACACAATATGATTACAGTGACGCAGGATGCCACCCTGACGAGGGTTATTACATCGTTTCCTTAGCAACGCCTCTCAGTTCCAAAAACCCATTGACTTGCATTACAATATCCAAGACTGCGCACTGTGGCGTAATTCCAATTCACCATGGAGCATACCATTTTACTCTATTGAAACCAACTGAAGGACAAGGAGGGAAATGTGGAAAAGAACGAGATAGGTGTTTTGTCTTACATTTGGGTGTCCATGGTGCGCACCAGAGCAACGAAGTTTTCATAGAGGGTAAAGAGCAGCGGCCATGACTGTGCCCAGTCTATGATATTATAATTCAAGTCTAAGCAACAGCTAAAGACTTTATTTTTCAAAATAATGTTGATGGCGGCTTGCTTTTGTTTATGGCAGCTCGTGAAATATGTGACTTCATAGAGTCGTTTGCTCCGGAGGCTCTGGGCCAGACGAACTCACCAAAGCTCTTCTAATGTTGCCATTCGTCATAAACGAGTGAATGACGTTTTTCCATAACGCTTTTGCCCGCTAAATGAGCTGCTTTCACCTTTGGTACATTATAAAGAGACACATTCCGCTGACGAAAGATAATAGATTCGAAGAACGGCAAGACGTTCTCGTTGTTTATTTATAATCAAAATCTGAGTAACACAGACCACAGGGATGGATGGTCACGCTAGTCTGTCATGCCGGAGTTTTATTTATCGTGTGAGTGAACTCTCGCATTCCTGAGTAACGTATGGTTCTTTTTTTTGTTGTTTTATTGGATATTCTTGTTTGCCAGTACAAGGAAAAAATTCTTGGGGGAAATGGGTGGTTTTTGACTTGTTGTTTTCTTGTTGATTATTTGCCTGTACCTCTGTTTCTTTGTCTATTTGCTAAGGGGAAAATTAGTTTGCTTGGTATAGAGAGGAAACTCAGAGTCACGAGTGTTGCAGTGCTAACGTCTCCATGCGAAATGCATAAAACTATAAACGTTTACGTAATTTTTGCCAAGGAATCCAATCTACGAGTCATATAGCAAGCTGTAGTATAAGTAGTAGGTATATTTGTGCATCGCTTTACCGACTACTTAAACGAAACCTTTTTTAGTTACCTACAGCGATTCTTTGTTATTTGTTTTATAAAATAGGTGTCTAACGCACCCATGAATACCATCTAGATCATTTTAGGACGCGGACTTCGACCCCGTATGTCACAGCCAACCCGGGCTGAGAGGGATAGTTTCCCAATAGAGAGACCGAGATACTTGACAAAATTCTCCCCATATTGGAATCGAACTCGGGTCCTCTGCGTGAGACGGTGAAGTGCCTGACTGCTGCAACACAGATGCCGGTTTGCTATTTGTTCCAGTCTTTGACTTCGAAGATGTTCGCTATAAAAATGCTGTGTCCGATACAATCAAGAAGGAAAGCATGATTTAACCGAATCAGAAAAATTAGGTATCAGTTAGGGCGTACCCACAGTTTCTTTCATGTAATACAAAAAATTGTCAGCATCTCCTTTCTTCTTTTCTGTTGTTCCAGATATGTATGTTATTTTGTGTTTTGCTATATGGATCCATCGACCGACCGAGTTAGATCTATTTTGCTATTTATTTTCTTACTTGTTTGACTGATATGTGTATCGGTTGATCAATTGACTGGTTGAACTGTAGATGGAATGAGTGGTTGATTAATTATAGATTTTATTTGTTGTGTTTATTTTCTTAAACATTTTATTTGTGTTTGTTTTCTGTTTTTCTCAGGGAACTTAATGTGCTCGACTTAATTTCCAGAGAAACAGAAAACGAAACTAAAGCTTTCTTTATTTATGTGTTTAGCGTTTCTCTGCATAAAAATTATACTATTTAAGGGTATTAACTGATTTTACTCGACGCAATCCAACCGTCCTTAAACGTGAACGTTTTGCAATAGCGACATGGTTTATTTTCAGATTTAAAAGATATTATACTATACATGCTTTGCTAAAGATAATTGGCTTCTTCGTAGAAATATTATATCGTAACTCGGATCTCATAGTCGTCACAAACATTATTGCTAAAACATTCCGGGATTTCCTAATTTCCAAACTAGATGGTTTTCTGGAAGTACAGAAGAGGAGCTAAGCAACTCTTGAACATTGTTCACGCGATAAGCTCTAGATCTAAATATAATTACTCGTAGCTGCCAGAGAGTTGCATGCACAGCATTTTACATTTTAACCCCCCCCCCCCCCCCCCCCCCCCCCCCCCCCCTCTCTCTCTCTCTCTCTCTCTCTCTCTATCTCTTCCTACCTCCTCTCTTTCTATGTTTCTGCGCGCGCGCGCGCGCGCGTGTGTGTGTGTGTGTGTGTGTGTGTGTGTATGTATGGATCGGTATGTAGATCTATGTGTGTGTAGATATATGTAGATCTATGTGTGTATCTGTATGTGTGTGTGTCTGTGTGTGTGTCTGTGTGTGTGTATTTTCTTAATTAAGGAATGGTTGATGGCGGATGGTATGATGGCACTAGTGACCTAGTATTTTACTTGGCGCTTGGTCGAACTGTGTCAGAAATGACGTAAACAGTACAACTAGCCATTTGTCTTTCGTTGCCTGTGAGAGTAGAAGTATGTTGTCTTTCTATTCGGTTCTCTTTCTCCCCC